ATGGGCAAAGCAACAGAGTCCTGTCCCCCAGTGCCAGCAAAGAGACCTCTGTAATCTCCTTCTGATCAGCTTCTGATCAATCCCCTTACAATCTATCGGTTTAGAGCTCCAGAGGCAGCTGCCACCACTGCTAATTCAGTAACTCCCAAAGCCTGCTCCTGGTTTTCTGGGGTCTGGTCTATGCTGGCATGGCCTAGACTGTGCTCCTCTTTTAGCGAGGTACAACAGACTTTTCCTGCCAACCTTCTAAGTTATCTTTGGCTGGAAAATTATTTCACCCCATCCTTTTGTGGGTTTTGCCACTCTAGAAATTGTTTTATGGCATTATTTAAAGGTGTTTGAAGACAGTTCAGGCAAGTCACTGCCTTTTCTCTACCATCTCCCCACTGTGCTTTTCCAAACCCTTTGTTTTTAAAAAGCATATAGTGAATTTAACAAAATAGTAACAAAATTGTCCACTTTTGGACTTTTTTCGTTCTATATATTTTTAAATGTTTTATGGATACTTCTTTTTTCATGTGCTACTACCTACTAACTTCTTTCATAAAAACCCTTTCCTATAACAAATAATAATCAGCATGCATATAATACTTTTTTAAAAATTACAAAGCACTTTACAACTATCATCAATTCTATGCAGAGTTGCTGTCTTAATTAAACTTTGCATCTCTACAAGTGTCTATTGCCAGAGTTCTGCACTAATAAGGAGTAATGCAGAGCATTTTATTTAGGGAGAGAAATTGCCACACAAATGTAAGATGAAGAATATTTTACTACCATGGTGAAAATCAAAATGGAGGTGAACTGATTATAGATAATTTAAGGCAGAAAATAGTGTCCTAAAAATCTTAGTGCAGTTTTTGGCTACTAAGGCTTAAAACTGAAGACTTTTGGGACACCCTTTTTGGGATCAGAGGCATGGTATTGTATGGTAGATAGAGAACTAGTAGCAGGACAGGAAGACATGAGTTCAAATACAGCTTCTTTCTCATACCAGCTGTGCAATCTTGAGTAAGTTTTTAGGAAGGAACATTTGAACTAGGGTTTTTAACTCGTATTTTTCTTTAGGCATATAGCATACACTGAAGATATGGGGGGGTATTTTATATGAATAAACAGATGTGAGAAAGTTCAGGATCAAATTATGGAACAACTATCTATTAGTACACTATATCTACTGGCTAGTCCTGGATATAAAACCATGCTTTAGCTTTACATCCTATCCAATTATTCTCTGAATCCATCTCACCATCTTTTTCTACCACCTAATTCTGGTATACCTAATTCTCCCCTTTTCTGCCTTCCCAGAACACAATACCTTTCCCTAGTCACCATTCCCCTATATGGTTGTCTTTCTTTATTAGAACGTAAGCTCCTTAAGGACAGAAATCCTGTCTTTGGCTTGACATTGGATCTGACATATAGTAAGTGCTTAATAATGCCTTTTAATTCATTCATCATGCTTTTCAAATAGGAAAAGAGGAATAGTATGAACTAAAATTTGAAAGGCAGGTTGGGGCCAAATTGTTTGAATTTATAAGTAACAAGTTTGAATTTATAAGTAAGAGAACTAAAAGGTATTTGTGTTAGCAAGAGAGTGACATGGTCAGATGTATATGTTAGTAAAATGAAACTGGCAACTATGTGAAGAATGGAAAGGGAAGAGAATAGAGGCAAAGAGTTCAGTTAGGAGACTATTATACTAGTACAGAATTAACTGTAAAGAGAAGGGAATGGATAGTGGAGATACGAATTTAGCAACGGATTAGACATAATGTGGTAAAGAAGAGTCAAAGATGTCTTGATATGAAGCCTTGTTGACAGGGAAGATAGTGAATAATTTCATAAAAGAAATAGGAAACTTGGGCAGAGGGGCAGGTGTTAGCAGAAAAGATAATGAGTTTAGTTTTGGACATGTTAAGTTTGAGGGGGAAACAGGAAATTCAGGTGGAGATGTCCAGTACAGTTTCGGAAATGTGGGAATGGAGTTTAGGGGCATGATTAGTGCTGTTTATGAATTTGGGAGTCATCCATTTAGAGGTAAGAATTAAAATATTTGAGTGGATAAAATTGTCTAAAGAGAGCAAAAGGAGAGAGAACCTTGACTGACAATTAAAGGGCAGAAGGAGGAAGGTGAACTAATGGAGGGGAGGATCACACAGGTAGGAAGAGAATAAGGAAATAAAGTGCCCTGGGAGAGAGAGGAGATCTCGAGTATCAAGAAAGTGGTCAAAGGTGTTAAATGCTGCAAAAAAAAAAAAAAAAAAAAATCAAATCAAAGAGAATGAGGACTGAGAAAAAGCTACTAGATTTAGTAAGAGGTAACTGGTAACCTTAGAAAGGAAAATTTCAGTGGAGAAGAGAGTTGGAAGTCAAGTTTCCAGGAGTTGAGTGAGTGGTAGCCAAAGAAATGAAAGTAAATATTTAGTTTTAGTGTGGGCTTTTTGACAATATCTTCTAGCACACTGGTAGATTTGTGGAAGGCTTAGGACAAGAATAAAGCAGAATAAGGCATGAATAAGTAGTGCTGGCTGGAGCACCCATATCAAGAAAATCAGAGATCTAAATCCACTGAAGGGAGCTCTTTATTTTGTTTCCTAACAGCTATACTGAAGATATCTATCCAGAAGATTTGGATACGTTATTTAACGTCACCATACTAATGTATTACATCAACTAATTAATATTAATACTAGATACTCTAATAGTTAAAATTGAGAAATTACCTGTAAAAAACTGACTGTACACAAAAATGACAGAAATAGGGTTTGAGGATGTACAATCAAAACACTTTAAAATGGGAAAAAAATTGGGTAGTATCGATTAAATTTGGAAAAGTTTTGAGAGCAGTAAAGAATAAACAATACTAGGGAAACAAATTATGGGTCAAAGATTACTGTGATACACTATGACAACATTTGATAATCATGTTGACTTGATTCACCTCACAATAGATAACAGAAAGTGCAATAAAAAGCTGTTATAAGATTAAGTCCTTCCTTGATTTGTAAATTTAGGATTAATCATTGAATAATTCAGAGTAAAAATATAATAATGAACAGATATTGAAAGTTAAACTACTTTTGGCAAAAAGTATGTTTGAGTTTTATCCTTTACTGTACTCAACTTCCTCAACAATTGTACCATTAACAAAAAGACCATACTATATGTTTAATTAAAAAAATTTATATTTCAACATGTCGTACTCAGAAATTAGATTTAAATAACAAATTATTCAGTTGACTAAACTACTGGGAAAAAAATCAAGGTCTTAAAGTAGCTCTATTGGAAAAAATAAAGTCATCTCTCAATTATTCAGAATTAAAGATAAAAAAAATGGCAGTCCTTGAGTTTCTTTTGTGAGGCTGATTAAGTTACAACCTGTCTGGTCCTCAGTTTCATTACCAGTAAAATGAGAAGACTGAACTAGATTAAAATTATTTCTATAAGGGTCCTTCCATATCTAGGATTCTCTGGTTCTATATTTAAATTTGGCACCTGTTCGTATTTCCTCGTAAAAATTCAAATTATAAATCAACATCCATAAATTTTTTCAAATGTAGTCGTAGAAAACACATTTACTGTAGACATAAAAAAAACTAGCCCTAACAGATTTTTAAAAAATGATTTTTCATTTTATTTTTGTATATTTGTAATACTTTCTTAAAGATTAAGAATATCACTTAATTAGGTTCCCAGGTAAAGAAAAGAACCTGAAGACAAGGAAACTGTTATAAGAAATTGAGCCCTTTGAGACCTTGAGGATTCTTTTGTTTTCATTTCCTTGAAGATATTTAAAACTCCAACTCAAAGGCTTTGGAAGATTTGTCCTAACTCTCCTGAATCTATATTAATCCTTTTATTCCTACTTTGGAAAAGGAAAAAATGCAGGAATTCGTTAACATGCCAGCCTGCCATTTGGCAGGTAAACGGAAAAGGAAAAGCTAAAAAAAACTCGGTCCTTGGAACTTAGCTTTGTCCAAACATCACCGCTTTCTGCCAAAGCTCGGAGTAAATTACCTGGGTCATCAACTGCAGCTACAGAGAACTACCTGGGACATCTGCTTCCTCACTGACCCACCTCTGAAGCCAAGCTTTTTTTCTTGGGCCCTCAAGTTTATAGTTCAAGGGACTCAACCTAAATGGCTTGGGGAGATGGGGGTAGCGGGCGGGACCCAGGCCGCCGCGGGCCGCCCTGGCAGAGGCCTTCCCTCCACTTTGGTCCCCTTTGTCTGGGGCTCGCCTTCCCCTTCCCTGTTGGACCCTGCCCACCCCGTCCTCCCGGACTCGTCCCCCCGGGCCTCTTCTCCCTCCTCCCCCGCATCCTGTTCTAACTAGGGCGGGACGAAGGAGCCCAGGTGCCTGGAGGGTGTCACCGGGCGCCCCTCGCCACTCTCTCCCTTCCCTTATCGCCTTCCCCCAGCGGGGCAGACTCGAAGGAACGGAAGCGGGGAGGTGGCGGGGGCTTCGGGGGGGAGGGGTGAAGGGGGAGCCGGCGGGTCCGCGGGTGGCTTAGCGAGAAGTGACCAGATACCACACCTGAGGACGCCCAGGGAAGGGAAAGAGGAAGGGGGCGGGGCCTCAAATGCTGCTAGCGCCGCGGGCGCCAGGGGAGGGGACACGAAGGGAGGGACTCTGCTCCCCCCCTCCTCCGCGAAGGGGAGGAGGAGGAGAAGGCGGCCAGTGACTCTACCCGGGGAACCGGTCGGGCAGGTGGGGGTGGGGGGCAGGGGCCCACAGCCCTGAGGGAGGGGTTCGGGGAGAGGCGGAGACGAGGGCGGTCGGGCTGGTCGTGGTGCGGCACCAGACACCCGCCCCACACTCGCTCTGTCCGTCCGCAGTCGCGCTCACCTGCGGGTCGTTTTCGCGCCCGGGGCCAGGTGACCTTCCCTCCTCGCCCCTCCCAGTCCCGAGGGGCCCGAGACCCTTCCGCTCCCCCGGCCCGAGCCCTCGAGGGTCCTCGCGTGCGTCCGACGAGCCGGAGGAGCCCCGCGCCCCCGTGCCCCTTCGCTCCCTCCGGCGCGCTCTCCATGGCTCTCCCCCGGGCTCTCGCGCTCGGGCTGCTGCTCGCGGCCACGGTCGTGGCGCTGAGCTCGGCTGAGCAAGGTGAGTCGGGGTGGGGGGGCGGGGGCTGCCGAGAATAGGATGCTGGGGCGGGGGGCGGCCGGGCGTGCTGGAGGCGCCGTCGGGGAGACCCGAGAGGCCACGGAGAGAGAGAGGGATGGACGATGGCATCGGGCGGACACGGCACTTAGGGACCCGAGGACCCGGAGTGGGGAGGCGGCGGCGGAGGGTGGCCAGCCCGAGCCCCAGCGTCCCCGCGACCGTCTTTGTCCGCCGGGGAAGGGGGCGGCGCTGAGCTTCGTCTCGGAGACCCCCGCCACACTCGTTCCTCTGGAGTGAACTAGGGCGGGTTGGGGGTAGGGCCTAAAGAGGGGACCAGTCTCGGGAGGATGGGGGGGGCGGCCCGGGAAAGATTACCGGGTTATGGAGAGGCCCTGCGTGGTGATCTTTGGCGGGACCTCGGGGGTGTGCGTCGGGTCGCCCCCTCCACCGTCCAACCCCGTCCTGTCTTTTCCCTCCTTGTCCCTTTCCATTCCCTCTTCGTCCTTTCCACACAATGGCGCCCCTCTCCTTCTTCCGGGCTCTGGCTACTTCGGCGAGCGAAGGGAGCTGCCTTGGGGAAGCTGGGGAGAACGGGAACTGGTCAGTGGCCCTGGCTGGGCCGGGGCCCCACCCCCGCCCCCCGGGAGGCTGCCTACCTGTGCTGAGGCCCGGATGTGGGCCGAGGAACTGCGCGACAGGTGACTGCCGTGGAGCGCTCCTCCAGGTGCCCGCCCGCGGTGCACCTGCACCCTCCAGACGGCCCCTCCCTTCCCCCTGCTGTACATCTGCTCCCTCAGGGAGCTGGAAACCAGTCACGCGTCTGGAAGGAAAGCTTTCTAATCTTGACCCATCTTCTTTGTTTTCTTCTGAGACCAAAAGACTTTAAATTAGTTTCCTGTTATTGGAAAAGCAAATGATGATTTCCTTTAAATGTAGTTGGATGCTCCACTCCTCCGAGAAGACAGTTTTCAGCTAGCTCTAATTCAGTAGATGGACTGCAATAATTTTTGCTCTAGTTGCAAATAGATTAAGGAACCTTTTCCGTCTCACTTATTCCAAGTGTGTGGATTTACCTCCCATTTGTCTGTCTCCCATCTCCTGCCTCCCTCTTCTTGAGAGCAGGTTGGGTTTTTAATTTTCATTCTATTATGTTTTTGCCTTTCTTTATGTCCCTGGCTCCTCGCACAGCCCCTGCCACATAGTACGTGCTTCATAAATATTTGGTGGCTGACTTCGGGATGGAAAGTCTATTTTGTCAGAGACCATTTGCCGTTTCATTAATGAATCAAATAATTTTTGGACTGGAGGGGTGGGTTCTGAAGGGAAGAAAGAAATTATTTGGGTTCCATGGGTCTCAAATGGAAACAAGAAGATGGGTCAAGAATAGAAAGCTTTCCTTCCAGAGTGGGTAACTTGTTTTGTAAAGGTTGGTTATGTTTAAGGAGATGGAAAGTTTGAGCATAAAAACTGAAATTGGGAGGGGGGGGGGCGCTAGGTGGTGCAGTGGATAGAGCACTGGCCTTGGATTCAGGAGGACCTGAGTTCAAATCTAGCCTCAGACACATAAACTAGCTGTGTGACCCTGGGCAAGTCACTTAACCCCCACTGCCAAAACAAACAAACAAAAAAAAAGTTGAAATGGGAATCAATGAATTGACCTATTGTCCAAACAAGTCAGAAGAAAATTCTGGAACCAATTTTTCTTGTCATTTAAAGCTGTGATGTACTGGGCACTTGGGTAGAATTCCCAGAAACTCTAACTGGAGCACTAGAATTGTCTTTGAGGGGAGTATTATTTTGTTGTTCCAGCATTAATTGGAAGATAACAGATTTCAAATTTTTTTTCCTCTTTTCTAGCTTGTTACTGTGAAACAAACAAGTTAACAAACTGCACTGAAATATCACCTGGTAAATGCCAATGTCAGGCTATTGGTTCACCAAATGTGGTCCAATGTTCACAACGTGAGTTTAGTCTAATTTTCTGGCATTAACTTTATTTTGGTATACTAATTTGGTTAGTGAAATGTAGTATAGACCATTTGTAAATTAACAATTCAGCGTGTCAGAATATTTGCTCAGAAGTACATTACTTGTCTTTATGCTGGGACACTTCAGCTCAGTTTTTAAAAACTGCTTTTAAAGAAAAAGCATCTAGCCACATTTATAGGTAAAGTGGCTTTTTGTAGAATGTGAGAAGTGAATTTTTACTTTTATAGGTAATATGACTTTTTCTAGAATGAAAATTTAAGGCAGTGTTGTTTGTCATTCTCTAATGGGTCAAAGGAGAGTAAAAATAAAAACACTCTTCAAAGTAAACGATATAACTCATGTAAGAAATTTGTTTTTTTTTTATTTCTGATGTAAGGAATTTGGACCCCGAGAAAGACTTGCCCCTCATTAAATATGAGGAAACAGAGCCTTGACTTGCATGCCATACATGTAATAAGTGGCAGATCCCTGCCTTATGATTCCTAGTTCACTCTTCTCTTTTTTGTATCGTGCTGCCTGTCTTGGGCATTTATTTTTTCTTGGATTCAGTGATTATGAATTCTTGTCTTTATTAACTTTTGATCAGCGTAGGCTCTTAATGAATATTATTTGATTTTGAATTTTTGGGGGGAAGCATAAACCCACCCTTTGAGTTTGACTATGACCTTTCCCCTCCTCAAAGTGGCTTCAAAATGTTTGGTGATGAAAGCAGAAATGACTAATTCAAGGAGTGGGCGGAGAAAGAAACCAGAAGGGGCTATTCAGGATAACGATGGAATATATGATCCCGATTGTGATGGACATGGTCACTTCAAACCTCGACAATGTAATGGCACTGCTCTTTGCTGGTGTGTGAATACAGCTGGAGTAAGAAGAACAGATAAGGACAGTGAAATATCATGCAGTGAACTAGTAAGAACATAGTAAGTTTGTTTGCCTTTGTTATTAATGTTCATACTCTTCAGATAAATTCCTTATCTGTGAATTATAATAGCATTGATTTGTACCTAAAACTTTGATGGTAAATATGATAGTTAATCTCTAAGTATTTTGGTTCATTTGTTGGTTTAATTAAAGAGGAAACTTACTCTCTTTTGATAGTACTGTTACTATATTTGGAGCTGGGAAAATTTTAGTGGTATTCACTAAGAACTGAAAGTTTAAAAAAGTATAAGGAAGTAATTCAATTAATTTTTTTTATTACAGTTGGATCATCATTGAACTGCGACACAAAACAAGAGAAAAACCTTTTAATAATACTATTTTAGAAAAGTAAGTCTTATTAAAGTCTGTGTCTTGGCATATTTTTAAGAGCTAAAGTAAATGGCTTTTCATTCATTCATTAAAATGCCTAATTATTTGTAAAATGAAGCCTTTGGACTAAATCATCTTTAAGATATTTACCAACTGGTAAACACCAACTGGGGTTGGTGTTTAAAAACCTTGACCGTCATGTTCTATCTATAGGAGACAAATATTTCTTTTTTTTCTTTTTTTTTATGAATTTATTTTGAATTATCAACAATCACTTCCATAGGCTTTTGAGTCTTAAATTTTTCTCCCCCTACCTCCCTTCCCAAGATGGCGCACAATCTGATATAGGCTATACATATACATTCTTATTAAACATATTTTCACATTAATGATGTTGTAAGAATTAGAACCAATAGGAGGAACCACCAGAAAGAGGAAACAAAACACAACAGAAGAAAAAAAATAGCAAATAGTATGCTTCAATTTGCATTCAAACTCCATAGTTCTTTCTTTGGATGTGGATAGCATTTTCCATCATGAGGCCTTTGGAGATGTCTTAGATCCTTGTATTGCTGAGAAGGGTTAAGTCTATCAATATTAGTCATCGCACAATGTGGCTGTTGCTGTGTACAATGTTCTCCTGGTTCTGCTCACTTCACTCAGTATCAGACCATACAAGTCTTTCCAGGTTTTTCTGAAGTCAGCCTGTTCATCATTTCTTATAGCACAATAGTATTCCATTACATTCATATACCACAACTTGTTCAGCCATTCTCCAATTGATGGGCATCCTCTCAATTTCCAATTCTTTGCCACCACAAAAAGAGCTGCTATAAATATTTTTGTACATGTGGGTCCTTTTCCCATTTGTATGGTCTCTCTGGGATATAGCCCCAGAAGTGCTATTGCTGGGTCAAAGGGTATGCACATTTTTATAGCCCTTTGGGCATAGTTCCAAATTGTTCTCCAAAATGGTTGGATCATTTCACAACTCCACCAACAATGCATTAGTGCTCCAATTTTCCCACATCTTCTCCAACATTTATCATTTTCCTGTTTTGGGAGACAAATATTTCTTATAATAGATTGTTTATGATACTTGTAAAAATTAAAGATAGCATCTTTAACTGGTTAGTTTTATAAACACTTTGGTCTTGGAGAACTATAACTATCTGGTTATATCAATAGCAATAGTGCTTTTTGTAATGTATCATAGAATAGTTGTTTTATAACAGATTTTTAATTCTTACAGGGCCATCAAACAGGAATTTCAGAAACGTTATCAACTGAACCCTAAATACATCAAAAGAATTTTGGTAATATATTTTCTTCCTGTTGCAAACCATCTCTGAAAGAGCTAGCTAGTTTTAGCAAATACATGGTAATGTAGCTGGGTACAACGGATAAACTACTAGATTTGGAGACAGGAGGACATGGGTTCAAATCTTTCCTCTGACACTTAAAAGCTGTATGACCATGGGCAAGTCACTTATTATCTCTTAGTTTCTGGTAACTCTGGAAAAACTCATTCACTAAGTTGTAGCTGGCTTGCCATCTGTGTTAAGCACTTTATTGTGAATTCTGTATTCTTTATCTTTGATTTCCATATATTCTTTACATCTACAAGTTTAATGATTCTTATCTCCTTGGATTTTAAAAAATATAATATGTATTCAGGAAAAAAAGCTCAGTTCAAATTGATTAGACATAAATATTTTCATGAACTAATGATATGGATAACCACTGAGACAGAAAACTTGAGATACTGCTTTTTCTTGCTCATCTTTCCCATAGAAATATTCTTTAAGTATCACTTCCCTCCCCTAGTCTCTGTAACACCCTGCTTCCTCTCCAGGAAATCTAGCAGCTCTTTGAAACTTGACACACATACCCCTAACACCATGGCCCTAGATAACATTTTTTTTTGTGAGTACTCAGTAACCACTATAGTCTTCTAACGATGTATTCTAATTTAGGTTGTTTTTTTTTTTAATGCTGTATCCAAAGAAAGATTAATTTCTCCTCTTCCTAAGAGTATTATTTTTATAGCTTCCCATCCATGGGGGTCGTATAGTCAAAATGATCCATTCTAGGCTGTTACTGAAAAATGCTTGAATGTAATAAATATCTGAGACAGGATTTGAGCCCAAGTCTTACGACTCCATATTCAGCTCTCTATCCCTTATCCTACACTGTAGGATATTTGGGAGAGATAATCTTACTCCTTTCTTTGCCATCAAGTAGGAGACTGAATTTGGATTACATTTCATTTCAGCACTTTACATATTCTACACTTAGGATAATTTAAAATGAAAGGCATATCACTTGTCCAAAAAAGTGGTTTCTTTCTGTTTATCTGTCAATAATTCTCATTGTGGTAGCAAAAACTTTCTTTCATAACAGAAGTTTTTATTATTAATTTTAGTTCTCTTTTAGGTTTTTAGCACAATATTTGATATTTAGCATTTAGAACCATATGTAGAATATTTAAAGATATCACAAAAATTCTGAATGTCCAATAGTTAATTATTAATTTTCTACCTTAGTAGAAAAGAGCAACTGTACAAATGATTCAGAAGTCACAGAATTCAATGACAGAAATGTGATGATGAGCACAATGATTTACTTGATGTTTACTCTTTTTTTTTTCCAGTATGAGGATGATGTTATCATTATTGACCTGGTGCAAAATAGTACCCAGAAAAGCACTTATGATGTGGACATAGCTGATGTGGCATATTATTTTGAGAAAGATGTAAGTATGATTGACTAGGTCATTCTGAAACATTATTTTGGCCAAAAACCCTACTATTCAGAGAGGGAAGGGGAAGAGATTAATTTGTATTCAGCCAAATTAGTATTAAAGGTCTTCTGGCTACCTTTCCAGGCTCTATTTTTACATTCTTCAGAATTATCCCTTTGATATAGTCAATTCAATCTTTTTATCGTTTCCTCCCACATCAAAGAAAGCCATGGGTGCTTAAAGTAAGGAAATGTTCCATGTATTGCTAGTGCCATTCCACTACCTGTAATGCCATCTGTTCCTCCTCTATTATAGCCTTCAGATACCTATGTCAGACTTTATTAATTCTTAACAACCCTTCCCTGAGAAATCTCAGGCAACATCATTCAGCATGTGGGTATATACATAATTTACTCTACTATCTTGTACTTGATCATCTGTTATCTAGTTACATGGTATGTTTTGTGGTTCCAGTTAGATCTGTGAATTTTTTAAGGGTATGGGGGCATACTTTTGTCTTCTTTTATGCTTCCTCTTATCCTCAGAGCCCATAGTTCGGGGAGTGGAACATGTGGGAGACATGTAAGGAATTTTATTTATCATTCAATTTGGGGATAAGATATTGATGGTGACCCCAGAGCTCAGTCATGTTTGGCAGTGGTTCTTTCTAAACTTTTTGAATTTTGTTTTTTTCATTTCCAATATAGGTAAAAGGCGAATCTCTCTTTTATTCCAGTAAAATTAATCTTGACATAGAAGGTGAAAACCTTGATTTGGATCCTTCTAAAACTTTAATCTATTACCTTGATGAAAAGGCACCTGAATTTTCGATGCAAGGACTAACAGCTGGTGTTATTGCTGTCATTGTAGTTGTAGTTCTGGCACTTGTTGCTGGAATTGTTGTGCTGGTAAGTGCCGTACAGATAAAATGCCAATGTTCCAAGGATTATTTCAGTATCATTTCAGAGGGTTCTCTAGGATAAAGATATTTTCATACTCTAGTGGAGTAACCATAGTAACAATACTCAATCTGATTGTAAATCTTTAACAATGAATTAATCTCATATGAAATCATTTTCCTGGCCTTGCTATGAGATAATCACTTTCTGTAAGAAAGAAACTTTGTGCTGTGTGTGCTGTAAGAGAAGTATAACCATACTCTTCACATTTATTTTGTTTTGCCTTCAAGCTGCAAATACAAATACCCTTCTCCCACCGATGAGACAGGAAAAACAAGAACAGACAATCCTAAACTCCCAAATCATCTACCACGGCTAAGTAAGGAAACACCATAAGAAGCCCAAACTATTATGTGATGATAATAATTGCTCGCAGGGGGGAGTCACATAAAATTTAATCCTCACAATAACCCTGTGAGTTTGGTGCTATTTTCCCCATTTTAGAGGTGAGGAAACTGAGTGAGAGAGACTGATTAACTTGAAGTCATGTAGCTATTAAGTGTCTTGAGGTAGAATTCGAACCCAGATCTTTTGACCCCAGATCCTGCACTTAAGTCATTTCTTTACGGAAAGGAGAAAAGAGATTCTTATGTGATTAAAACTAGGTGAAGTAAATTCTCTAAGTCATATGTTTTCATATTTACATATATACATAAACCATAAAGGAGTTGGGCATTGGCTCCTACAGATTGAAAATGTTGTTTTTAGTATTATACCCCTTTTACATTTTTATACGACAAAAGCATTTAGATATTCTGTGGAGTTTGTGATAATGGGCTTTCACTTTTACTTTCAGCATGACTGTCCCCAGTTTTTAAAGTTTCATTTTTAAAAGTTAGACCTTTACTAGAAGCAATTATAACTTAAAAACAGCTCCTATTTTTCTCTACCTCGATATTTACCTTATTTTTCAAAGGTCAGCTTAGTCTGTTACTTATGCTGTTTAAAAAATTGTATTAAATATGAAATTGTTCAATTATGAACTTTTTAATAGCTCTTTATGCTAATGTGTAAGTTTTTATTTGAATAAATATTGAACAGTTTTCTAAAATTATAGAATATCTTCATCTATTTAGGTTATATCCAGGAAGAAAAAGAAGACAAAATATGAAAAAGCTGAGGTAAGTTGATCCTTAATGAAATTCATTTTAAAGTAATAGTATTAGTAATAATAACAATAGCATTTATGTAGAACTTTACAGTTTGCAAAGGATTTTACAAGCCATTTTACCCTCACAACAACCCTAAGAAGTAGATGCTGTTGTTATGCCCATTTTACAGATGGGGAAACTGAGGAAAACAGAGGTTAAGTGACTTGCTGATGGTCACATAGCCAGTAAATGTTTGAGGTGAGGATTGAACCGAGCTCTTCCTGACTCAAGGTCCAGTTCTCTGTCCCATTTCACCACCTAGCTGCCAAGTAACATGGTATAGAGGCTCTGAATATGGAGTCAGAGGACCTGAATCTCTGTTCAGTTTCTTCATCTGTAAGAAACGGACATCGGATTAGTTGGCCTGCACAGTCCCTTCCAGCTCTAAATCTCCGATGCTATGAATTTGTAGAATAATTTGTTAAACAATGTCCTCTTGGTAAATTAGAGAATGTCCCAGACGTACAAACAGATTCCAACTGTATTATGGCCTCATTAGAATACTATTCTAGGAGTTTGTGCCTAATGAGAGAATAATGTCATTGTCTAAATCCCCTTACATAAAGCCCAAAAGGAATACCTTTTATTGAATTCTGTTCTAGTGTTGTACGATTGTACTGGGATCTCATTAAAGTAGGAGGTCCATAATACTGTGCTTGTTTATAAAGAGATACATTGCCGTCCTTTCTTGATGTTACCCCCCAGCAGACCCCTTCCTTGTAGCAAAGAAGTATACAGTTAAGCAAAACAAGTCAGCACATTGCCCATATCTAAGGGCGTATACCTCTTTCTACACAACTGATCAGTGACTTGATAGGAGTTCTGGTCTTTCTGTACTGTTTTCCTTCGTATTTTTATGGTTTGGGTGGTTGGGTGGGTGGGGTCTGTTCACTTTGTTCTTCAATCTCTTATGTTATACAGCCTTCCTCAGCTTTCTCTAAATTCTAATAATTTCTTACAGCACAGTATTACATTAATTTGCCACAGTTGTCATCCATTCCCTAATCAAGCAACATCTATCCATTTCATCTCTAGATACTGTTTCTTAACAGTGTCCCTTTAATGAGTTCTAATTAATGAGCTCAATGTAGGTGAATTATGTTTAGCTTTAAGCTAGTGAGGTGTAATATTTGGAATAGGTGGACTTAATTTATATCATGATTATTCTTTTTTTGCTATTATATGGTGTGCTGTTAATTACAAATCTCCAAAACTATTTGCAAACTTTTTTCACCTCCTTGGGATTGGACTTGATTTCTGATGACATAGACATTTGGTCTCCTGGTCCTAATTATCCTGGGATCATCCCTTCAGAGGCTGTCTGGTCCAAATCCTCATTTTACAGATGAGGAAACTGAAGTGAAGTGACTTGCCTCATGATCTCACAGCTCCCTGAATCCTCCTGACTGGTATTCCAGACAGATGTGTAAAGCATGATCTTTTTTCACTAAATACTATTTGACTGATAGCATCATTGGAAGGTCATGGGATCACAGATTTAGAGCTACAGGGGATCATGTTTTCAAAAAGTTTCCAAAGTGCTTTATTTAAAATAGCCCAGTGATTCCTTCAAATAGTATTGCCACCATTTCACAGATAAGAAAACTAAGGCCCAGAGAAGTGATATGACTTACCTATGTTCATAGGGATAGCTGGGCCTAGAGTCAAGAAGACCTACGTTCAAATCTGGTCTCAGACACTTACCAGCAGTATGACCCTGGCTAAGTCATTTAACCCTATTTGCCTCAGTTTCCTCATCTGTAAAATAAGCTGGAGAAGGAAAGGGCAAATCATTCCAGTATCTTTGCCAAGAAAATTTCAAATGGGTTCATGAAGAGTTGGGCATAATTGAAATGACTGAACAGCAACAACATCCTTTCTATTATACATTGTTTCCCAGTTATTATTTGGATAATTTTGAAAAGTGGGTTTCAGTTTTCTTATCTGTAAATTGAGAAGGTTCATTCAAACTCTAAAAATTCTAGAAGTCTATGCTACTTTATTAAAAACCCTCCAACCATCAGCTGTAGTGCTGCTTTTAATATTTAAGCCTTTCAGCATCATGATAGATGGAAGTTATTGCTCCTTTTTCTGAACTTTTTAGATTGTCTTATTCTACTTTGGGGACATTTATAACAAATTTATTTGTGTTCAACTTGTTTGTATATAAAGACAGGTCACAGTTATGTGATGCTTTGTAGTTTATGAAGCATTTTCTCACAATAGCCCCGGGAGTTGGCGTTTACAAGTATTATTGTATCCATTTTACAGATGAGGAAATAAAGGCTTTAGGAGCTTAAATGACTTGACTAGACTCTGTATGGCTAGTAGACTTGAACTATTTTCTTGATTAATTGTTCAGTGTTCACTACAGTTTTACAAGACCCTGATGGATAAGGAATATACAGATTCCTGCAGTCCTTTGCATATAGTTAGTATATCAATAAATACTAAGATTGAGAAAGTTGACTCATTGAGGATTCCTACTCTTAATCCATTTGATATGATTCCATGGAGGTCATGATTATAAGTTCCCATATAGTTGGCTTCAGATCTGCAGATTTTAAGTTCACTTCCTTAATCATAGGAAGTTAACTAGAGGCCCTCTACCCTTTTTTTTTTTTTTTTAATCATGGTGACCAAACCCGGTGTGACAGAGGTGACTCAACTACATGGAAAGTCCTCCAATTTATTTTTGTACCTCCAGACCATTCTTTTTTGACCAACACAAGCAGGTGACCATTCTGTGGCCATCTTATCACCACCTAGTCAGTGGAGATAGTCTTTGCTTCACCCAACTCAAGACCTTTCTGACAGATCATTTTTTGCTTATGCATCATATGTCAGCAGTGGAATGATTCTTTATTTGGTGTAGCCATTCTTGAGTGGCTAGATAGCTAACCCCATAAAAATAGAGCCCTGGAAGATCTGAGGTCCACTTCCTTAGAGGGGACCATGGACCCTTTAATAAAGTACCATTGGCTCAGAGCTTTGTCTCAGTCTCTTTCATTGTAGGTTGGATAATTTTAATCCCCACAAGATAAAATTATTGCAAATGAGAGGAATTTGATTTCTGATGATATAGAAATTTTGTTAACTTTTTTACCTCCTTCCTCACAGATGAAGGAGATGGGTGAATTGTAGAGAACTCTCCACATAACTACCAAAACATGAAGACAAGAAGAAGAAAAAATAAATATTGATGCTGTTATGTGTGGACGTGGGGGAAAAAAAAGCCTCGCCAGATTAATATCTTGTTAGGAAAGACTATAACCTAGGGTTTAAAAATGCAGAATGAGTGTAGATCGTTGTGAAGTGGGATTTACTCAGTACTCAAATTATGAGTTACTTGAAAATTTTGGCTATCCCTATCAAAAAAAGTTGGGCCACTATAAATTGTTCAAATATACATTTTCTTAGACAAAAACTAGACTGCATGGGTTTAAGCTAATGCTTATATGACATCAGAATTCATGCTTTAAATATATTTCCACAATAGGGTTTGAATTCCACACTTGTAAAAATGAAAGCTAGTTTTCAGTAACGTTTTTTGTTTGTCTTGTACATATTTTTGTCTTGAATTTCCTTAAACTTTTTTTATGAACTATGAAATAAACAAGTTGTTCAAAATTGAGTTTCCCATTTTTAAAAATTTATCCTTGTTAAAAAACAGCTATCAATTTCTACAAAGTACTGACCAGCCCTAAGCTACTAGGTAAATTGTAGTACTGTTCAAACATCTGAATGTCAGAAATGAATGATGTGCTTCAAGGACATGGAAATAGTTTTTGCTCTGCATAACATCTTAAAGTTCTGCTTTTCATTTAAAAACTAAAATAAAAATTACTTTTTAAAAAATGAGAATGGGAAATGAACCTTGGGGAAGAATTTAAGGGGAGGGGTTTCTGAGACTGGAAAACTAGATGAATGACTTCATATGAGTGATTTATTGCACTAAAGTTTCTTTTGTCACAAAAGACTTTTGTTACTAAACTGTTCCTACAAAAATATAGCTGACTCCCGAAGTATCCAGGGTAGATTGTCCAGGTTACTGACCTCCTTACATATCTTGTTTTTGCTCTAGGTTTTGCCTCTTCCTTTGTGTATAGTTCCAGATACATAGTAGGCACTTAATAAATGTTCATTTACTGATTCCATTGTAATGTGAGGCTTTTGGACCAGATGACCTATAATGTCCATTCTAGCTTTCAATTTGATTATCTGGTACTTTAGAAAAGGTGTCAAATGTATCTATTAGATTCATTAAATGGTAGTTGATTTAACCCCAAATACTATCTGGTTAGCCACAGGGGAGATTTAGGGGCTGGGGAGTTCAAGAAGTTTTTAATCTGTCAAGTAGAAAATCAGAGACACCAAAGGAAGTAACTCTGGAACAACTTTTACTTTAAATCTATGCCCTGTAAATAACAGAATATAGCAACATATTATCATACCACCAAATTAAGGATGAAAGCCACAAATCTGATAATGATATAGTAGTTTATTCATTTATCCCTTGACATTAAATCTCTAGCAAATTTTGTTAGTAATAACACATTTCTACAATTCTAAAGTTTACAGAGTACCTCTTTTCCAGATATTTGAGGTTGGTGGGAAGAGCATCATCTCAATTTTAGAGATGAAGAAATGGGTTAGTCCAACACCATATTGGTGGAACTGGAAATGCAGTTCTGATTGCAAGTTGGGTACTTTCTGCTATATGGCCTTTAAAAAATATTTTGAAATGAACATTCAATGAGATAGAGGACTTTCAAGCATTCTTGATGAAAAGACCAGAGCTAAATAAAAAATTGGACTTTCAAATAAAAGACTCAAGCATAAAAAGGTAAATAGGAAAGGGCAATCATAATGGACTTTGTAAATACATTCTTACATGGGAAGATGATATTTGTAACTCATAAGACCTTTCTCATTAAGGTAATTAGAAGGTGCATATATAGACAGAGGGCACAGGTGTGAGTTGAATACGAAGGAATGATATCTAAAAAATAAAATTAAGGGGTGAGAGGAATGTACTGGAGAAAGGGAACGGTAGAACGAGGTAAATTATCTCATAAAAGAGGCAAGAAAAAGCTTTTACAGTGGAGAGGAAGAGGGAGAAGTAAAGAGTGACTGAACTTTTATCAGAATTAGCTCAAAGAGGAATAACATACACACTCAACTGGGTATAGAAATTTATCTTAGCCTGCAGAAAAGGCAGAGAGGAAGGTGATGAGAGAACTCCAGTATCTTTGCCAAGAAAGCCTCAAATGGGGTTACAAAGAGTTGGACATGATGGAAAATGACTGAACAAATATGTGTGTGTGTATACACATACTGTATATAAAGTTAATACATATAATATATGATATATTATAAATTTAAGGTGCTATGTAAATGTTAGCTATTATTACTCAGGTACCAAAAAGGCAATAGCTTGAGTCTTTTGTTTCCTGAGCCAATCATGTCTCAGATAGGATTTCAATACCTTTTAAGGAAAGGTATTAAGGTAATTAAGGCTTAATTTCCATGGGGGTGAGGACTAAGCTATTGCTTCTACCAGACAATACCCCACCCCTTGGTAGTAAGGTCCTAAAGGTCTTCTAGAGGACTGCCTACCACTTAAATGGCTTTAGAGCTAGTTAACCCTGATCATAAGGATGCAAGAAACCTAATATTGGCAACATTAAAAAGAGGGGGGAAAAGTAAAGCAGAAACAGCATGACCAATGTAACAACTCTTTAAAGGTGTGGCTGAACATGGAAAAATGAAGATCAGAAATCCTAGCCTCCTAGACTTTATCACCTTGTCCTCCCTTTGGAAGGATTGAATTTTAGATCTAAATAATCACCTCCATTGGTTAGGTGATGCCAAATCTTTGCACTTCACAGTAGACTTCAACATAAAGAGGTGACCATGAGCAGAAGCAGCACTGGAAACATGAGGGCTACAACAAAGATAATAAAACTAGTATTTATATAATGCTATAAGGTTTGCATAGTGCTTTACAAATATTACATCATTTTATCTTTACAACAACCCTGGGACGTAGATGGTATTATTATCCTCATTTAAGAATTTATTATCTCTGGTTAAGGAAATGAAGGCAGAGGTTAAGTGACTTGCCCAGGGTCACTTGGGCAGGGTTTGAATTCAGGTCTTCCTAACTCCAGTTTCAGTACTCTATTCACTGTGTTGTGGTTTGGGGTGCTGGGAACCCCAAAATGTAAGGGTTCAGGGTGAGACTGGGGTGGTCTGGGGGCAACAGGGAAAGGTCCTAGATGGGATTAAGGAGTGGCAAGTAACCTGGGGTAGACTAGGTGCAGACAATGAAAGGAGTTAAGTGGTCTTGGCTGGTTCAGAGAGCCACAGTTAAAGGGCAGTGAAAAGGGTTATTGAGTATCTAGATAGACTGGGATGGGCCTGATGCCTCAGGTGAGATGCCAGTGTGGGTAAAGACATGGTCTTTTCCTTTAAAGGTTCAGGTCCCATAACCCCATCAACTTGATCATCAATCCACATAACTTCTTTTCTCTCTCTCTCTCTCTGTGTCTCTATTTCTTTCTTCCTTTTCTTTTTCTTTCCTTCTGTCTACATAGGGTATTACACCTTTACCTATGGGTGCTCTGCCCAAAGGGAACGTAAATTTTTAATCTGAAACTTTTTTTTAAAGACTAGCCTTAATGCCAAATCACTCTGACTCTCATTGACTGGCCAATAATAGGTCCCGGGTCAGTTTGGGCCCTGATTCGCTCAGAATTAATGTAAATAGCAATTGTTTCTGTTTTGGCTAGAAACCCTGAGGGTCTTCCCCTCCCAAATCTCTATTTTTTTTTAAAGAGACGATTTTTTACTTCATTTATTATTAAGTCTTAATCATTGAATAGGCTTTGCCTCAGTCAAACTGACAACTGTTAAGAACCTTAGCTTGAAATGAGCAAAGATCTCCACTGCATCCTGAGCTATCTCTAGTTGTCCTGATCTATATCTGGTCACTGGACCCAGGTGGCTCCGGAGGTGAAAATGAGGTTGGTGACTTTGCACAGCTCTTCCTCACTTAAATCCAATTCACTTGCATGTCATGGCATCACCTTCCTGATGTCATGGTCCTCTTTGAGACCAAAAGACAAAAGGCAGCAATCCATATAATGAGTCAGGGAGATATACCTTGTATTACCAACTATTAATTGTTTCCTGGTCCACCAGCCAGGACCTTCCCTTCCCTAGAATCCCTAAAGGGGTGGGGAGAATACCAAATCTTTACCATTAGGGGTCTCTTCGGGATAAGCTCCTTTCTTCTCTGATGGGTAGTTAGAAACTTTCACCTCTTTATTGTTTCCAGAAAGTAAGCCTCCTCTCAGCAATGTTACCCACGAGCCAAGGAAACCCAATTTGTCTGGTTCAGCCCAAGCCCTCAGGCTCTAGTAAGGCTTAATTGGCCTGGAGACCCTGGTATTGCTCCTTTCCTCAATCCCTTGCTTGCCGCAGCATAGTGAAGAGTTAAGTTTCCTAGCTCCATGCCCTTCATTCCTCATTTCTTGTTAGGCAACTATGAGACTAACACCCTCATCTCCATGACCCACCCAACCCCTTTGCGTCACCCTACTTCGACATGGCAGTCATCTATTAGTGCCACATTTGCTCTTTTGTTTATTTATTTATTAAAAAAATTTTTTTTTTCACATCTGCTCTTTGTCTAAACATTTTATGTAAGTTGGAGCCCTAAGTGGCTCTGAGACTTTGATCAGAGAGCACCTGCTGCTTCATATCTGAGTCACCAACCTTGTGCTGCCCATACAGTTGTGGGCAATGGGGTCACACCTATATCATTCCCTATTGACATCTGTTCTTTCTTTGTGAATAATACAATAGTTACAGTGCACAGTTTATGTATTAGAGTAGAAGCTGTCTTTCTTTTTAAAGTTTTAAAACTGATATAGCATCCCTTGTGCTCAGCAAATCAACTGGAGGTGAAATCGGCACATTTGTCCAAATCCAGAAAGGTGTCCCTTCTCCTAGGGAGAATTAAGCATTATCCTTTCAAGAGTCTGCCTTATGGCAAAGAATCACAACAAAATCAACCTGACACAAACCCCATCAGGGAAAGGATGTTCAACAAAAATATGTATACACTGAGGGCACCTTGTATTGATTCAGCTGAATGAACTTTCCTTGCCTCTAAG